GCGCCATGATACTCTCCGTGCTTTAAATTTGTATGTGATTATGGAAGAGTTGTTCAACAAATTGCATATGGGTCTCATTTTCGGTTTGAAATATAACTCAAATGAGCGCATTATCTTGGAATTCATGAGCTCGGCTAGGTTTGTTGATAATGAGGATGATTTGAGGAAGAGCAAAGTCACGTTTAGGTTGTTCGATGAAAAACATACCATCACTAAACGTGAATTTGCCGCACATTTTGGTCTTCCCGTCCCTTTGAATGAGAAAGTCTCCGAAAATACAGTTTATGGCCATGATTTGGGAATGAAACGAGTGTTGATTCGGGAAAACTGACCGTTAGTCACGTTCAACACCCGATTTTCCGAATCTTTTTGAAATTCTTGGCCAATTGTTTATTTGGGCGCCCGAATAACCACCATGTGAGGATGTGAGATGTTTGTATCCTCACAAATGATTTGTACTATCATGCCCAATATTTTGATATTGTAGCTTGATGTGGGAACACTTAGTCAAAGAGTGCAAAGCTACCGGAAAAATTGTTTGTGGTGGAGTAATTATGCATTTGGCAACAAAATTCGGATATACGAATAACTCACCTATACCCGAATATTGTTTGATGGACCTTGGTTTCCTTAGTAGTGCACAATGCCTTTCCAACTCTCACTACGATGAAGGACACAAATTCTACAAATGGCACATCCACCCAAAACCCCTAAAGTACTTCACCCTCCCCTCCACCGAGCTACCTACATTTGAGTATAACGAACACCACACCGACGTGCGCCACTACCTACTCCCCAATGCCATCCCACCTCACCTCCAAGAGCAACCCGACGAACCCGACCAACCGGCTCAACCAAACCCATCTGTGAACCAACAAAATGCCCCACATAATATCCCCAACCCACCTCAAAACTCACCCCCAACCGACTACTTTCAACAACTTCTTGTCGGGTTCCAAACTATGAGCACGGACTTCAAGACCATGGGGGGGGGGGGGCATTTGATCAACTAAGGGAGGAAGTTGGTCAATACCGGGAAGAACAAAAAGCGGGTTTTCAACGGTTGGAGGAACAAAGGGAAGCCGATAACCGAAGATATGAGGAAGACTACCGAAGGATGTATGGGCCTACTTACTCCTACATGGCCCATCTCGGTGGTTACGCATTTATGGCTACACCCCCTCCACCACCTTCTTGGTATGACCCCTCTCATTGGGGTACATTTGGAGCATCCGGCTCCGGTGGTGGAGGCTTTGACGACGGCATGGGAGGTGATACCACGATGGGCGAGGGATGCATGGGTGGAGGCTTTGGAGGTAGCTACTACGGCGGAGAAGGAGGACACTAAGGACCGTGTCTTGGATAAGAAGGGGGAAGGACTTCTCATTGGTATGTAATTTTCCTTTTTGTGGCAATTCTACTTTGTACTACGCATGCTTTTCTTTTACTTTTATAAACAAAAAAATGAATTAAAAGAAAAAGAAATGCTAGTTAGGTTGAAAACCCAAAAACAGGAAATCTAAGAAAAAAGGGCTTTAAATAAAAGAAATGAGTGAATGGAAAGGATGAAAAATAGAAAGAGATGCTAGGATGAAAACTTGAAAAAGGCTCCTAGGCAAACTGAGAGATATGAGAGATATTTGTTTTTGCAGGACATCATTTTGATCTCTTGAAGATACAAAAAGGAGGAGAAAAACAAGAAGCATAGAAGGCCGTGAAACCCAAGAGAACACTTTTTCTTTGAGCTAAATACTCAATATAAAATTCATGTTTATCCTTGGTGACCTTTTGCTTTCACTTATTGATTGTGAACTTTTTGAGGACTTGAAATGTTTAAACATTTGATTTTACTCGAGGACGAGTAAAGAAACTAAGTACGGGGGAGTTGATTTGTGTGTAACTTCCGTTTGTATTTGTACGTTTTAATTAGTTTTGTGATTCGCTAGTTTGGAAATTACATACTTTTGATGCAATGTTTTGTTTTATTTAAATTGGTGTAAATTGTTTAGATTAGGATTTTTCTGAGCATAGTTGAATGCACTCAAAGGATCAAGAAATGGATCCCAAAGACCAAAAGATGTGTAAGAGAACAAGATCAAAAATTGATTTGGAAAAACGTTCATATACCCGGTCGGGTATATGCAATACCCGATCGGGTATTGAACCGATTTCGTTGTCAAAATCAAATCCGGGAAACAAACAATCGTGGCGGAAAAATATTTGAAGATTTGGCCCATACCCGATCGGGTAGACCGACACACCCGGTCGGGTATGGGTTGACGTTTTCCATTTCTGTGAAACTACTGAGTACCCGATCGGGTACCCTAAATACCCGGTCGGGTATATGATCCTGCCACCTCCATTTCCCTATAAATACACCCATTTTCCTTCACATTAAAGGCATCCCTTCTTCCATATACTTAAGCTCAGTTTGGAATAGTTATTTCTTACATTTTTATAGCATGTTTATTCTCCAAATGAGGAGCTAAACTTCCATTTCTTGGTTTTGCTCTTGAAGCTTGTTGATTATTAAAGTTGTGAGTTATTTTCTTAACTTCTTCTCTTGATTATTAGTTCTTCCCTTAATCTCATTCTATATTAATGTTGGAGGGTTGCTAAGTGACGATTAGTTAACGTTCCGACATTAATTATTACTAGAAACGACCAACGAACCGATGGTTAATCGTTGATGGTTTCACAAGTAAGTAACTTCGGTTTAGAGATATTACCCGAAATAGAACTAAAAGAGTTTGAAAATTCCAAAATAGGACTGCCATGTTTTTATTCCCAAAATAGGACTAATTACTGACATGTTTTCGCAGTATCAGACTTCAAACATGACAGTATTTTCCAAACTTGGCAGTAATTACTCCTATTTTGGGAATAAAAACATGATAGTCCTATTTTGGAATTTTCAAACTTTTTAGTCCTATTTCGGGAACTTTCCATTCGGTTTATTAATGCACGGTCGTGGTTAATAAACTTAAGAGCGATTAATTTTGTTGGTTAAACCGAAACCGTTGTGTTAAGGTTATCAATCTCAATTGATTTCATCAAGGAGTTAAAAAGATTAAATGCTACTATTAAATCGGTATAGGACGTTGTTCTATATTTGATTAATAGTAAGGGTTGTTAATGATTGGTCATTGTTAATAACTACTCTCGATGAATTGGATATACTCCTCGATTGAGTATTCGAGAGGGGATAAGTTAAAGATATAACAAGGATCGACTAAAATATATCAACAAGTGGAAAGTAGCAAAGCCAAGTCCCTTTTATTCTTGAATTAAATCTCATATAACTCGTTCGTCTTCGTGTTTAATTAAATTAAATCACTCAATCCCAAAACCCGTCCTTTATTTACTAGTTTTATTAAAAGAGAATTATTTCTTTCCATATGGATACAGACTCTTCTTCACCTATACTACGTATAAGTGTTAGTATCGTATTATTTTGACGCACCGTGACAAAGTGCTCATCAGTACCCCTTATATTCTGACGCATAGTCCAAGAAAATACACTGAACAGAACGCGATTGATATTTCGTCCCCACACCTCGCGAATGAGAGTCATTGATATTTCGGACCGACTCTAAAGTGTCATCATCCTCATATCATGATCGGTGTGATTATCTATCTCAGGATCGGCTCCTAGTGATGAATGTCTTGAGCTAGCAATCAGGCTCGCCACTCCCTTCTCGAATGGTGACCATCGCCTTCACATGACGATCAGTTCTGCATCACCTCGTCATCATAATTCAAGTCGATATCCCAGCACCATCAGATCTGGCACCACAAGTATTCATTGAGGGAACCATTCGATGTTACCCCCCCCCCCCCCCCCAAAAAAAAACATAGAGGAAGGAGGGGGGAACTAGTCTTAGTCTTCTGAAGTTTGATCATCGCTGTCGATCTGGAACGGAGGAATGGACCTTTTCTCGAATGAATCACCAAGGATTTATAACCGAGTCTAGCGGGCCAAGCCAAGATGAATAGTGAGGGGTTAGGGGGGGGGGGGAGTTTTGGTCTTCCGAAGTTCGATCATCGTTGCCGATCTGGAACGGGGGAATGGACATGTCCTCAAACTAATCATCAGGGGCTTATAGCCAAGTTTAGCAGGTCGAGCCAAAACGAATGGTAAGGAGTTCGGGGGAGCAAATGCTGGTCACTGCCGATCTCGAACGGGGAATGGACTTGTCCTTGAACGAATCACCAGAGGTTTATAATGGAAAAATTGTAATTCCTCGTATTATATTGAAAAAGTCAATTAACCCTCGAATTTAAAGAACACTCAATTAAACCCTCAAACTTTAGGAAGGCATTCAAATTTATAATTTAGCAGATTAAGTCCCACCTAACAGGTTAACTCTGTCGACATGATGGTTCAAGTGGCATTTTACTTTTTTCTTTTTCTTTCTTTTCCCCTTCTCTCCCCTACTACTAATTTTTTCTTCTGCTTTCCTTACTGTTCTCTCGTAAATAAATACGCTAGTGTTAATTTTCATTATCAGTTATAAAGCTGAAAGGAGAAAACTTGAGTATCAATCAGTAGAATAAATGGGGTGGAAGAAGAAAGAAAAGGGGGAGAGAAGGTCAGGTGGGAAGAAGACACAAGAGAATGAAGAGAAATGAGTGGAAGAAAGTAAAAAATCAAGAAAATGAAAAGGTTTGCATGGGTGGGTAGCGTGGAAGAAGAAAGGAAGAGGAGGTAGGGCCGAAGAATAAAGGTGGAGAGGTGGGGTGTAAGAAAAAAAAAGGGGGCAGAGAACTGAGAGAAGGAAAAAGAAAGAAAAAAAAAATAATAATAATAATAATAACAATAACAATAACAATAACAATAACAATAACAATAACAATAACAATAACAATAACAATAACAATAACAATAACAATAACAATAACAATAACAATAACAATAACAATAACAATAACAATAACAATAACAATAACAATAACAATAACAATAACAATAACAATAACAATAACAATAACAATAACAATAACAATAACAATAACAATAACAATAACAATAACAATAACAATAAAGAACAATAAACATGAGGACTGTAGTCATCATGTCAGACTGTCAGAGTAACTGATTAACTAGACCTTAACCAATTAAATTATACATTTGATCTTTTCTAAAGTTTGTGGGTGTAATTGGGTGTTTTTTAAGTTAGGCAGTTTCTCATGCTCCGTATTACAATTGTCATAATAATAGATAGGAATATGATTTTTAGTGCACAATGGCCATGTTAATATTATAGGGAAAACCCAAACTAAAACTAGTAACGATAACAACCTTTTTGAAGGTGTGTGTTCTCAACCCATCTTACGTATGGGTTTTTCATTTGAAGTTGCCAAACTTTGAAGCTCCGTTATCTTATAAATTGGTTGAACACTTTGAATCCACTTCTCTTAGGGTTTTGCATTCACCTTATTTATTAAATCCATGAACAACATCCCTAGGAATGTTATCATTGATAACTAAAACTAACACTTGTTTATTTATTTAGAAGAAAGGGAACAACAAATACTCTGCATAGAAGAGATTCCATATAAACCGGTAGAATTCTAAAATTGCTTCCTGCAAAATGCATTACCAAACCGAGATTAATACCGTTGCATAAAGCCTCCCTGATACGTCTTAAAGTCATAAATACTATGGAGTAAGGCACTCACCTTAGTATAATTTGATTTCTCCAGTAACCAAGCCTGAAAATAAACACAAAACCCTTCTTATTACATTTTAAAAAAGTAGTGATTTATTTATTATTCATATTACTCGACTATTTTTAAACTTTATTCAAAAATATACATTAATGCAGAAAAAATCAGTGTCAAAGTTTATAATGAATTTCCCTCATGACCCAACTTTCTTACAAATGAATAACAAAATGAAATTAAAACTTGTTATCATCACAGGGTTTTTGCAGTTACAAGGTATACATACCTGGAAAACTAAACATACTGCCAATGTTGTATGTAAGGGTATCATTAATCTGCTTTTGAAAGCCTACAAATAGTTCAAAATTAGAGAAGACAAGAAAAATTTAAAACCGTATATAGACACAGAAACACATCACCTGATAATACACCAATGGTATAACTTTATGATGACCCAAATACCCAATGACATAACTAAATAAAAGATTATTAACTCAGGCAAAGATGAACTCACTTGAGGCATGTAAATTGCAGCCAATACAGCACCAAAGTAATTTACCAGCAATAGCCCAGAGCCCAAAATTGCAATGTTTCTCACACCAAGCTTTGTAGCAAAGGTAGAAATTTGAAACCTGATAGGTTAATTAAAAAATAAATATAAAAATATATATTCCAACCTGATAGGAGTATATATATATATACTTCCTCCCTTCCTTTTTAATTGCAACATTTCACGTTTGCCAACGCACAAGTTTGACCATCAATATCTTTCATTCATTATTAGTAACAAATTTAAAAAATTCATATTTTGAAATTTTAGAATGAGAAGAATTTAACAATATTTTTTATAAATTTAACTTATAATACATTAATTAATAAAATATAGTCAAAGTAGAATATGTGAATAGTGCAAAAAGTCCAATGTTGCGATTAAAAGAGAACGGAGGTAGTATATTTTTTGCTTTTTTTAGATGCTAAATGAATATATATATATATATATGCTAAATGAATATATATATATATATATGATTCAAATACAAAGAGGTCTTCCCATGCAAAGTAAGAATTAATCTCATGCATTCATTTTTAGATCTAATGGCTCAAAATGAGCCAAAAGTGAACTGTATTTGATCAAAAACGCGGTGGCAATTTCGTAATTAAAGCAAAGTTTTTTGCCATCGAGAAAAAGTGCAGGAGAAACACGCAAAAGTGCAACGCGATGAAGAAAAAGTGCAACCGTTCGCACTTTGCACGGGAGAACCTCTTTTTATTTGATCTCTTCCCTATATATATATATATATATATATATATATATATATATATATATATATATATATATATATATATATATATATATATAAGGTAGAGTTCAAATAAAAAGTGGTCTTCCGGTGCAAAGTGCGAAATTTTCACTTTTGCATGTTTCGCTTGCACTTTTGCTTGTTTCCGTTGCACTTTTGCACTATTGTGATTTTGGTCAAATTCGGCCAAAATGACGGTGGCAGTTTTGTAAAGGGAAAACTGTCAAATAGGTCCTCGAACTTTCATAAAAAAGTCAATTAAGTCCTTCTATAGGAGACTCTGTCTGGTCATCGCGATTTGCGGCGGTTCCCGGTGGAATTTTTTGATGAAATTTTTAGAGCATCTTATTCATCAAGTCTAGTTTACTCATACCAAATTTTAGCTAAATATTTAATCGGGAGCGCATTCAAATTAATTCGAGAACGCAAAAATGCGCAGTTATCTTCAAGAATTAATTTGAATGTGTTCCCGATTGAATTTTTAGCTGAAATTTGGTATGAGTAAACTAGACTTGGTGAATAAGATGCTCAAAAAATTTCATAAAAAAACTCCACCGGGAACTGCCCCAAATCGCGAGGGCCGGATAGAACCTCCTATAGAAGGACTTAATTGACCTTTTTATGAAAGTTCGAGAACCTATTTGACAGTTTTCCCTTTTGTAAATAATCCGATTTTTTTCGCTACCTCAAAAAAGTGCAACGAAAACAAGAAAACGTGCAAACTTTGCACTTTGCACGGGAAGACCACTTTTTATTTGAACCTTACCCTATATATATATATATATATATATATATATATATAGGGTAAGGTTCAAGTGAGAAGAACTCTTTGGGTGAGAAATGAGAATGAATCTCAGCCATTGGATTCGACTAAGTTGCAGTAAAAGACACTTCATGATGCACTGAAATATGTAATCTAGCACGGTGGCATTTCTGTAAATACTTCTGAAAAATCCGTATTACACGTGTCTAGTGCAACATGAAGCTATTTCGGTGCAACGCCGTCAAATATTAGTGCAACATGAAACAGTTTTAGTGCAACATATGCAAAATTTAAATATTACTGCAACATAAAGCCAATTTTAGTGCAACTTCGTAAATCCAATGGCTGAGATTCATTCTCATTTCTCACATTAGATGCATTTCTCACCTGAACCAAAATCTATATATATATATATATATATATACTCCAATCCTAATTCTAAGTGTGTAAAGGAAAAAAATCTTTCACTGAGATATCCAAAGAGAAGGGGAGCCATGGCTGATGGCTCACCGGTTACGGTGTCGTTGTGTGACCGAGAGGTCACACGTTCAAGTTTTGGGAGCGGCCTCTTGTCAAAATGACAAGGGAAGGCTTGCTCCATATACACCCTTGCGGTGGGACCCTTCTCCGGAGCCTCACCTTCTGGGGATGCCAATGTGCACCGGGCTGCCCCTTTTTGAGATATCCAAACAAAAAACATTAATGACATGATAATCACTGAAAATCATACAGTTTCATGTACAATAGATTTCCAGTGACACTGCCTTAAGATGAGAGGATAGTGAGAAAAACACTTTTGTCAAAATGATACATACTCCATATAAGCCTAAGTCTTACTTCAGAAGTTTTTTTTCAGAAGTTTTTTTTCAAAAGTTTTCTTGTCCCAAAAAGTAATCATGTTTGATCACATGAAGATAAGATTTCATGTAATTTGTCAAAAAAGAGTAGCAAAGAAGTTTGATCACATAATAAATTTAGTCAACACATCAAAAAAGGTTTTAAAGTGTAACTATAATTTATAAAAAATTGAGGAAAAATTCACATGAATAATCCAACCTATTTACATTCTTCTAATATATTCCCAAATATATGTAATTCTAACATAATCTCACATTTATATATGGTCTTGCGCCACTGATCCAGGTTGCATACAACCTTCTAAACCGGTAAAAAAGAAAAAAAAAAAAGAGAGAGAGAAAAAGAAAAAAGATTGATCTGCGTCTGGATCCACTCCATCCTCATCCTCATCTTCACCCTTCATCTATGGAGAAGACATGGAAGAAGTGTTCATCTTCCTAACACAATTCATCTTTGACCGCAAGAGTAGTTCAATCCACAGAGAAAGGAAGGCGTTGCCGGCACTTTCATTTCCCTCTTGAATCAATTCCAATCGCCGGCTAAAAGGAATGTGGCGGCGGAAAAGACAGTGGCCACCTTCGCTGCTTCAAGTCATCTCTCTTGTCAAAGATGGAAGGAGGAGCATCCTGCTTCTGGTGTAGACAAATATGTCGATGAAGGAGGGCATCTGAGTCTGCTTCTAATGGAACGATGGAATGGAGGTCCTGAGGTCCTCGCTGGAGTACCGAGGAAGAGGGCATCTGATTCTTCTTCAGTTCGTCCCTTTAGTTGGATGAGTGGAGTTGTAAAAGAAATTAAGAAGAATGGACAGAAGAGGAGGTCCAATGAAAGAGAAGAAGAATACAATAGAAATGAAGTAAGAGAAAGGTCTGAGCGGAAGAGAAGAGAAATAAAGAGAAAGGAAAAAATGGAAAAGTAAAAATGTGTGAAGTCCAATCAGAGTAAAACATGGGTCGGGTGACCTGATGAATCCTTTCATTCCGGTCATGGGCTTAATTTGAGAAGACGCCACGTATAAATTAGATTGTTATAGAAATACTCATATTTGGGATTAATGTTGGAAGAGCCGAAAAAGGTGAGGTTATTCATGTGATTTTTTCCTATAATTTATATATTAGAGTTGTACCTTGCCAAAAATAAAAGGTTGTACTTGACCAATCATTATTTCCTCAGTGCAGAGGGAGTACTTTTTATATCAAAAACTGATACCCAGAAGTTTTACTTTAAATTTACAAAATGATACATTTTTGTCAAAAAGTATCAACTTGAAACAATCTGGCACAAGTTTGTAAGCTCTAGGTATAAGTAGTTGTAGCAACTTACTTTCGATCACCTTCTACATCAGGCAGATCCTTTGTAATGGCAATAACCAAAGCAAACATCGTGACAAAACTTGTAATGAAAGCAACAGGTGAGCTGCAAGCAATCCGCAAAATTGAAGCCTGTTTAGAGTTCTATTAAAAAATGGTGTACAACTACAGTAATTGCAACAAATGGACGTATTTCAGCATATTCAATATTCTACTTTGTACAGAATAGAAGAGGAACACAGAAAAACTGAAATGTTTCTCCAAAGATATTGCTTCAACTGAATGTTTTTTGAAAATAAATGAATATAAAAAGATAAAAAAATATAAACCCAATCCCATAATCTTATTTATTACCCCCTTCACTTCATATTAAGTGCTGTTCAAGGACGATTCACACTGATCAAGAAAATCATTAAATGTTCTAGAATCTGATAAGGGCCTGTTCGACCGTGTCTACCAGCCATGCACGAAGGGCCAACTTGATTAGTCCACAAGTTATCTGTAGTTATTTTATTTATTTAAATTGGCTTTTCTTATTTCCGTCATATCCGGTTATTATGAGTTTGTAATAGTTTAGATCTCTCTCCAAATATTGTTTTACTACATTTGTATTTTGCCTACATAAGGCAACAAGGCTTATTAGTTGGAATAAATTATTTAGCTTTTCAAATAATCACTTCTTTTTATCGGTCGTCAAACCACCAATCACCTTCCTTGACAAGGGGGAAATTGTGATTTTTATTCGTAATGCCATAGCTTCAAATCCTTTATCTCTTCGACAACCTCGGACTACATCTTGTACCGAGGTACAGAACCTTACACATGTATAGTGTTATGCCTAAAATATCCTCAATGAATGACCTTTCTTAGAATATTAGAATATACTTTCGCTGAGATAGAGAAGGCCAAAAGTGAAAGTTCATATTAAATGCTCTCCGATTTTATAAAATGGCTGCACATATTTTGTAGCAATTTCTTTTAACCAAAAGGACACTTCAATTTTAAAATTAGAACACTCCTCTATGCCTCCAAAATTCCCATCCCAAACATACTCTTACTGCAAGTCAACAAACTAGGGCATGTTAAATTTATGCATCGTAGCTAAACATTTTATTTTCCATCATTTCCAATGGAGTTAAAGACACTATATTTTGGCTTGGGAATATGATGGAATAAAGCAAAATGGCTCACTAAAGTGTCTGTGCTTCCTGTTTATGAAGCATGCATTCCGTCCATGGGTTATCCGAAACAGCCTCTTTGTGCTTTATTACAAGGGTAAGGCTGCGTACATTTGACCCCCCTTACAACACCGTAGGTGGGAGCCTTGGCGGCACTGGGGTAATGTTGTTGTTGTAGTAGTAGTAGTAGTTAAACATTTCATTCTCAAAACGAAGATAAAAGATAAGTCAATAAGTTCATTGTGAAGTTCAAGATTCCCATCTTTTTGGTATAACAGCATTTCTGCCAATCTAGAGTGCCCAAGGAAATGAAAGGGCAGTTCCCATAATATAAAAGAAGACATTGATGTTAAGGACATAATACTTCAGCTCACCTCCATTCAAAGCTTAGCCCTAAAGCTGCTCGTGTGGCATAATAAACACCATAATTGAGAAGAAACCCTCTCACCTGCAGTTTACAAATCAGTGAGTGTTCTGTTTATAAAAGAAGAGTGCTACTTCAGATTTGGATGACATATGCTAAAAGTGTTTTCTTATTCAACTGCTAAAACGGCTTTCTTCAAAAAGTTCCAATCAGGTGCTTAACAAAATCAGCACAAAAGGTGCCTTTTTAGCAATTAAAATCTGTTAGAGAGCGGGAGGCAGTTGGGCCGATGCTCCAGGAGGAGGCAGTTGGGCCACTACTTCAGGAGGATGAGCCTCGGCCATTATTGGTTTATCGTCGCCGCCAGCGGGCCTAGAGTGGCTGGGTTTTATTACTTTATTTCATTTAATTGTTATTTCTAATAAACTGTTGGGCCTAGATGGCCATATTTTATTATTAGGTTATTGGGCCTAGATGGCCATATTTTATTATTAGGTTAAGGAGTATTTAAGGAGGTCTTGTGAACTATTATTCATTATCGAGAATAAAGAATCTGGTTTGAGCCTAAGGCTGGGGAGACGTAACATCGTCTGCTAGGGTTTTTCTGCTCCTATTAAATTGGTCCGACCTGCCGGATTCCATCCACCGCCCTACGTTCATCATGACTCGTTCCACCATTGATCAACGCATGGATGCGATAGAAGCGGACCAGAAGGACATCAGGGCAGAAGTGCAATCCACCAACGCCAAGTTGGACGCTATCACACAAACCCTAGACAAACTGACGCAGAAGGTTATGGCATCGGGGGAACCATTGGCTGATTCTGAATCGGGAGGAGGCACGCCTGACTCGCAAAACTCCAACAACCCTAGGTTTGTGACCGCGCCTCTGACGCTACTAGCGTTTGAGGGGGCAGATCCGATTGGATGGCTCGCCAAGGCCAATCAGCAGTTTGAAATCCATCAGACCCGACCCGAATTGAATGTGTCGTCTGCCATGGTTGCAATGGAGGGTCCTGCTCTGTATTGGTTCTCTTGGACACGTTCGCGGAAACCAAATATCACATGGGAGGAGTTTTCACAAGCTCTTGTGGCCCGTTTTGATACTCGGTTTAAGGGGAGCACGTTCGAACGGTTGGCCGACATCAAGCAGACGGGGTCTGTGGATGAATATGTGAACGTGTTCGTTCAACTGGCCAATCAGGTACCAGGTTTGAGTGATGCCCACTACTTGGGGTACTTCATGAAAGGGCTGCGAGACACGATTCGTAGCTCCTTACGGCTTTTACGACCAGCTGATTTGGAAGCTGCTATGGAGTTGGCCAAAGATGTCGAGGAAAACTTGGTTGTTCAGTCCGGAGGGAGAGTGGAACGGGGTTACAACAGTCAGCAGTACGGCAGTACCGTTCCAGTAGTTACAGCAAGGCTGGTGGGTTTTTGGGGTCGTCTTCCACCTCGACTATTGGCAACCAGGGGGCAGGGGCAAGCACAGCGTCCTCACGATCTCTAGATCGTACGCCGGGAACCGGATCAGCAATGACGGGCCAGTCTGTTAATCGCACTCGGTTCACATGCCTCTCACCACAGGAATTGGCAGATCTGCGCGCAAAAGGGCTGTGTTTCCGTTGCAAGAAGGCCTACACCCCTGGGCATGAATGTCCACTAAAACAGCTAAGAGTAATGGTAGCAGAGGAAGATGAGGAACTCGACCTCAGCCAAATTGAATTTTTTATTCCACCCGAAGAGGTCGAGCAGCTAGGCGAACAGGAGGAAAAACAGGCAGCAGCTATGGACTTGCCAGTATATTCCATGGCAGGGGTTTCTAGTCCCCGTACTAGGCGACTCAAAGGCGTAACCGAGGGGTTAACAGTGATCATCTTGGTGGATAGTGGTGCAAGTCACAACTTTATTTCAACAGCCCTTGTTTCCCGACTCAAATTACGAGCAGAAAAGACGGGGAAGTTTGGGATACAGCTAGGGGACGAACGTCGCCAAGAATCAGAAGGGGTTTGCAAAGGAGTGTCAATCTTGCTGCAAGGGTGCCAAATCCAGGCAGATTGTTACGTTTTTCCGTTGGGAGGAGTGGATGTTATACTGGGAGTAGCATGGCTAGCAACCTTGGGAGAGGTCCGGACCAACTGGGATACAATGACTATGTCCTTTGATTGGCAGGGCAGTCAGGTAAATCTAAAAGGGGATCCGGCACTCTGCCGGAAACAGGTTGGACTGCAGGCCCTGCTTTGGACAAGGGATGTGGAATTTTGGGCGATTGTGATGGAGGGAGAGCCCACTACTATATTAAGGCCAGACGAGGAGCAAATGGCTGATGTATTGCTGGAGTTTGAGGAAGTATTTAGAGAGTCGAGGGACCTTTCCCTGCAACGAACTACAGACCATCGGATTGAGTTGACACTTGGAGCGGGCCCGGATCTGTCCGGCCGTATAGGTATGGGCATAGTCAGAAAGATGAGATTGAAAACCTCGTGTCAGACATACTAAGTGCAGGCATCATCAGGCCAAGTTCCAGCCCGTTCTCAAGCCCGGTTCTCTTGGTTAAAAAGAAAGATGGCAGCTGGCGATTCTGTGTGGACTATAGAGAATTAAATAAAGTGACTGTTCCAGACAAGTACCCGATTCCAGTAATCCAGGAGATGTTGGATGAATTATCGGAAGCCGTAATTTTTTCAAAACTTGATCTCCGATCCGGTTATCATCAAATACAAGTGGCTGAACGAGATATTTTTAAAACGGCTTTTCGTACTCATAGCGGCCACTACGAGTTTCTAGTAATGTCGTTTGGGTTAACGAACGCGCCGGCCACCTTCCAGTCCACGATGAATGATCTGTTCAGGCCGTTCTTACGAAAAATTGTCTTGGTATTCTTCGATGATATCTTAATCTACAGTCGGACAGTAGCTAAGCATCGTGAGCACTTAACGCAGGTGCTACACATTCTGCACCAGTATCAGTTCAAGGTCAACAGAAAGAAATGTGTCTTTGGGGGGTCCAAGGTAGAGTACCTTGGCCACATCATTTCAGCGGCAGGCGTGGAGATGGACCCTTCTAAAGTTCGTGCAGTAGTTGAGAGGCCACAACCGCGTTCTGTCCGGGATGTGCGCGGGTTTTTGGGTTTGGCGGGTTATTACCGTCGTTTTGTCAAAGATTATGGAATCATAGCGCGGCCTCTGAGGCTCTGACAGCCTTATTGAAGAAAGACGCACCTGCCTGATTTGAATGGAATAAAGAGGCAGCAGCTGCTTTCACTTGCTTGAAGAGCGCACTGACTAAAGCGCCGGTTTTGGCCATGCCAGATTTCAAGCGTCACTTTGTGATTGAGTGCGATGCTTCAGGTATGGGAGTAGGGGCAGTCTTGATGCAAGAAGGCCGTCCGCTTGCTTATTTTAGTAAATCATTGGCTGATCGCACCCTTACCAAATCAGCCTATGAACGTGAATTAATGGGGCTGGTATTGGCAATCCAACATTGGCGGCCATATCTCGTGGGTCGTCGTTTTACGGTCCGCACCGATCACCACAGCCTCAAACATCTTCTCTCGCAGAAAATTGTGACTCCCTCGCAACAGAATTGGGTGGCTAAATTATTGGGGTATGATTTCCAAATTGAGTATAAACCGGGAGTCTCCAATTCAGCGGCTGATGCGCTATCTCGAAGAGCTGAGGAGGGGTTTCTGACAGCACTAAGTGTGTCGGATTGGGCAGGGATACGGGAGGTGTTGGAGGAACAAGGGCGTGATGAGTTTATTCAAAGCATTGTGATTGCCTTGAAGACTGACCCGGACAGCCGGGTGGGGTTCGAAATAATTGAGGGCAGGCTATTTTTTAAAGGAAGGTTGGTGCTGGCAGCCACTTCTGAGTGGATTCCAAAACTATTGCAGGAATTTCATGACACACTGGAGGGGGGCCATGCAGGGGTATACGTGTGTTATGGTTGTGGTGGATAGGCTGTCCAAGTATGGACACCATTGCGTTAAAACCGCCAATTACAGCTCGGTCTGTGGCCGATACTTTCGTGCAGGAGATCGTTCGGTTGCATGGTATGCCGGGATCCATAGTCAGTGATAGAGACCCGCTATTCGTCAGTACCTTTTGGAAAGAATTGTTCCAGCAGTCAGGTACCCACTTAAAGTACAATTCTGCATACCATCCTGAAACGGATGGCCAACAGAAGTGTTAAACCGTATTTTGGAGACATATCTCCGCTGCTTTACATGTGACCAGCCTAAGAAGTGGCTTCGTTGGTTACCTTGGGCAGAGTATTGGTACAATACTGCTTACCAAACGGCTGCAGGGATGTAATAAAAACAGAAAGTAATCAATCAACGGAGTTAACCGTTGCCAAAGCTTGAAAGCATAAACACACAAATTCTTATTGATAAAGCCTAGTTTGCAAGCCCTCTTAGGGGGTATAAATAGACTACATGTCCTAATTAAAGGAAACTCCTAAATTACTAATATTAGGAAATAAACTGAAACTAGGAAACTGATTAAAAGCCAATACTAATAAATTAAGAAATAATCTAAATAATTTATCCAGCCAGCCTAGTCCACGGATGTGGGCTTCTCCCGTCCCCTTCTGCGATAAACGATCAAGGGCCTGGGGCCCTCTTTTTCTTCGGTCGGAAACGACTGAGTCTGCTCGGTATCAAATTCATCCTCCTTTGGAAGAACCTTGTCCTCAAGGTTGAAATCAGGAAATTGACTTGAGAAGCTTGCTTTGTTCATCCAAGTTGCCTCGTCCGTAGACTGTCCAGCCCATTTAACCAACAACTCTTCTTCCTTGTCATTTTTCTTTCTCGTAGCTAATATGTCCTCAGGCTCGAACACCGGTCCTACGGGCAGTTCCAAGCTTTCGGGTAACTCACTTTCCACCGGGTGATCTCCGACTACCTTCCGCAACTGAGAGACATGGAAGACCGGATGGATACGGCTGGTAGCCAGAAGTGTCAAGCGGTAGGCTGTTTTCCCAATCCGTGCTTCAATTACAAATGGCCCATAGAATTTCGCAGACAGCTTGTTGTATGATTGGCGGAACAGAGTTGTTTGCCGATGAGGCCTGACTTTTAA